ACCATGCTGTTCTCCTTTAGCAAGCGATTTTACTTGCATACTGGTGCTGGAGGCAACAATAAACCATCTACCGGAGTGACCCTGTGATTACAAAGTAGTACTGCTATGGGGAAGCAAAAACTGGTTTAGCTATCAAATGTGAAACCAGAAAAAGAAGATACACGATTAACAACAAGCCTTCTTTTTTAATTCATATGGGTTCCATAGTTCTTGCACATCTGTCTTCACCAAGTGCTTCTCCTTCTCTCAATGTTGTTTAGTTTTCACACAGTGATTCATTCTGTCCAAGGTCTGTCTTGTACGGCTATTCTGAAAACAAGATCTGACAACTCAGAAGTGTATATTAACAGCTAAACTGAAAATCACCACCCTGGTATCCGTTCCCTGTACTACTGAAAAGCTGACCTACAGAACACAAAACCTCTTCAGAAACTGATGACACATAAAAGCTGGACTCTGCAGGAAAATGGAACTGAGACATAAAATCGCATCTGGGGACACTTTGGCACAGTAGGTTATATCCCACCGTATGTGAATCTAAGACAGGTGGATGCCATCCTAAAAAAAAAGACTCCACAAAACAGAAAGGTATGGAGAGTAGAAGGAGAAAAATAAGAGATACAGACCTGGAGTTTAATAAAAGGCACTCAGGGGACTTGAGAAAAAAACTCAACACATCTTGTACTTGATGTCAGGACACATTCTACTGAAGGGGTCAGAGGAGAGTGCTTAGCTAGAGAAACTGCTGAAGAAGCTTAAGGTGATCTTCAGTATTCTCTGTACCTACTGCATTGCTGATAGCCAGAGAAGAGGGTAAAAGCACAACTAGATAATGAAGAGAAGGTGGTTTCAAAGCCAGAACCAGGAGATCTTCAAGCAGTGATGTAACAAATAGTCTCTGCTTTAAAATGTGAGCTATTTACCTGCTGAGACTGAGGTTAGCATGATGGATAAAAAGAGCTTTAAACTAAGGGCAAAGGTTTAATTTTTATATCCTGCTTAATACCTAGAAGGGAAAAAAAATCAGCTAAAGGGGGCCAGACCAATCAAAAACAATGAGAAAAAAAAATGCTAACATAGTGAGGAGTCAAGGGGATAACAAGATTCAAGGAAAAGGACTACTGCAGGTATGAAGTCAAATGAGATTGATGTGAAACAGTTCAACTGATTGTAAACTACGGAACAAAAGAATCCAGACTCCTTTCATTTGCCATCAGAATTCTGTTGTCTTCAGATATGAGAAAACATTTTCAGCAGTACTTATACAACTGAAATGAATCTGTCTTAAGTGCTGAAGTTGTTTCTTAAAAATAAGGTAGGATCCTAACATGAATCAAGACAGTATTTTACTAAATATATTTCTTAAGTACAATCAAATGGCTTTATAGCTTCTTGGTTGTCTGGCATATAAAGGAACATATATCCCCAGTGGTCTTTACACTTGCCTAAAACAAGCTTTTTTAATTAAGCACATGCAAATCACAACTTTCTGTGCTTGTACACATCTGTGTACATTATGAACACATCTGCAACATATATGACTATTATTCAACATACACTGCAAACAGGAGAGCTTACACTTTCAGTATCATGTAACACTACCACAAACCCGCCATTTCATATCACTTTTATGCTATAAATAAAAAACTGAATTATTTTTTCCCAAGTGCTTGAAACACAAGTCTCAACTCCCCAGTAGAAGTATCCACTTCAGATTTACTTGAATACAACTTCTGTTTCATCTCCATGCTAAAATCACAATTTTTCATCTCCTCTGGATAGCCACAAATCTCTGTCCAATCACTGTAAGATAGTATGGTAAAAGTCCTGAGTAGAAAATTAAGCTTTTGTAAAGAAACTTGTCTTCGTTTTCCCAAGTACTAAAAACATTTCAAAACCCACATTAAAACTACACGCAATGGTTACATCTTCCAAATATCTTTCATTCTTCTAATGAATTCAGTTACACGCATATATTTATAACTTGCTTTCAAATTGTAATAAACCAAATCTCTAACATACCACAACTAAAGAATCTTTGAAGTATATACTGTGGGAAATGATTTAAAGATAACAGATATAGTATTGCAAATAGATATTTGCATACAAAAGAGATCAGGATAACATTATACTAAATTATATAGTATTACCAATGTAAAAAATCTATTACTTTTTTCCACTACCAGCCCAGAAAGCTTGACATGGGAAATGAATATCAATCTATATTTCCTCCTTCCTCGTTTCCATTCCTAGAACCCAGGATAAAGTCTCCTTGTCGAATCTCAGTAGCAGCTATAAAACTTGTTGCTTTCAGTGGCTTTGCAAAGTATTTATAACTGACTGCACTTTTGTAAGTGATTCGACCTTAATGTGCAATTCTATTTATAGATGAAGAAGAAAATTTGTGAAGAATTTTTAGTGTTTATTTCAAAAATCCAACCTTTTGACTAAAACTTCTAAGTAATAAAACTGTAAAATAAGTTTCAACTACTTTAATCTAATCTGTCTTCAAAAACATGCAGAGCAGACCCACTGTGCAAAACCTGAGCCATCTCAATTTGCCTGTTTCAGGACATTAATTTAGTTTTCTCCTACAGGTATTCAGTGTAACACTAAAAATCAACAAAATATTTTAACTGTAAGAAAATATGATTTTTAACCTGAGTCTCATGGCACTTTATGCAAGTATAGTATTATTTTCATGACTTTATTTTAGAAATATATAGTTAAGATAATGTAAGTGTTCCACCACTGTAAAGGTCTTTTAATACGTCTCGGCAGTGGAAAAGCAATCAAAAAGATTTGGAACAACCTAAAAGTTAATGCATTCAAACAATGAATATATACATATAAGTGCAGGATTCCCAATGTGAGGTGATAAACTACCTAAAAAATAGGAGACAGCAACAGTAACAGCCTCATGAGGACTTCAATCTGTTTGCCTTGCTTAGGTCAGCTTTTTTGTGGTCCTCAACAGAAGTATAGGTATACTGTACTGTTCCTGAAGTTTGAAAGTTTACTATATGTCAGTGATATTTGTTAATGAAATGTCTGTTCAAAACAATGTTGCATTTCAGAATATGCTGTCATTTGACTTTTTTCTTAAAAGGAAAAAAGCCTTTTAAAGTTGCTATAACAACAGAGATGTAGCTTCGATGTAGAAATTGGTCTAAAACTTTTTAATTAAAGGAATAATTTCAATTATTTTAATCTTTGTTTCTGCATCCTGAGATGCCATTAATGACCACCTTGAAGGTGTCAGTGTTTTGCGATGTCTCTTAGAGAGGCTTAAAGTCTAGTCTGGACCAGCTATGAGTTTTATGTAAAGACCTGCACAGTTATCAGACAGTCTAATGTTCTCAGCTGAGAAACCTTGTGCAACAAATCAACATCATAAAGAGTAATTTAGTATCTTTATTGCTCAAGGGTTGCAAACTACTTCTACATGTTGAAATAAAAAGTATTCACAGCATTTTAGTTTGTCTTTAGAATTGTACTTTCAGTTGTTTTTGCAATAAAACTTTATGAGCTTAGAAAATGAAGTGTACATTCAGCTCTGGAACAATTCTGGCCCAAGATGACTTAAAAAATTTTTTCTCTGTGTGCCCACTTCCAGGAAAACACTATTTTTTCGTCCTTATCCCTTGTCAGGTAAGGATAAGGATAATGTGTCTCTTGGTGACAGCATAACAAAAATACAAAACTGAAAGGAAGAAGAAAAGAAAATAAGGAAAAAAAATTAAATCTCAAAAGCCAGCTAGGTGCCAAATGATGATGGACACCATGCCAGGTTAAGAGGTATACTTCTAATATGGGGCATGGCAACCTCACCAGAACATCCATTAAAAAAATTATGACAACCTAGTAGCAATAAGAATAGAACAGGCTGATAAATAGGAACATCCACAAAGATTAATCAATTAGAGCCACTTCAGAGGCAGCTGACACATAATTTGACATTTCCCACTTTCCATTTAGCTTGGAATAGGTTGATATCTGAAACTACAGCTCTACTTACCTACTTCTTCTAGAGAGAAATCTGTATCTAAATTATGCAACGTGTAATCTCCACTTTTACAACTTCACACATACAGTATGGAAAAGTAAGCATTATTTTCCCACAGAAATAATGGAATACTGAAGAAGTGAAAGATGTTAATTACAGTGTTCGAAAACCAAAGGAATCACTCTAAACAGTTTTATAAAGACATTGCAATCTTCTAAATTAGAAGAAAAACAATATGCACCTACTTTTAAGAATCTGAATCTGCCCCAAACACCTGCAGTGCTATCCACGCCTGCACAGAAAAACCTGTGCCACAAAACCCACGCCAAAAATTTAGGAGTTGCTAAAAAGATTTTTTTTCTTTAAATAAGAAATATATCAAAAGAGAAGAAATACAAAACTAATCTTCTAGACAAAGAACAGGAAGAAAACTGTCACGTTCTCTGGTTTACGTTTATAACAGGACCCTATCTAGAGATTAGAATAGTTTCAAATCTATTGTAGTTGAGGATATGATGTCATCATTTAAGGGACGCAGATAATTTAGTCCACAATATCTATTCATATCAACAAAAGAAAGCAAAAGGGGGGATGCAGAATACTTTCATACCCCACTCTCCTGGTTTATTCCTATTTTACATGGATTCATCATCCATGTCAGAGTATTTAAGTAGTCTTTTCATTTTTCCCCCAAAGCCATCTGCTAGTTTAACTTTTGTAAAAGCACAACTGATTTCAACTCCATCAGATGCACACAGTGGACTGACTGATTTTCTCTCTCAGCAATTTCTGAATTTTCTGTGAAGTTTATTTTTAAAATACTGAATATGATACTTAACACACTTTGTTCACATGACATCACAGTATTTTTCATTACAGATTAATGAAAAACCTGGGAATTTGCTACAGAAAAGCTGAAGAGACTATAGGGTTTGCCAAAAATAAAGTAATAATCAACACAGAAAATATTCAAAGTCAATTAATGTCTTCTTACCTTGTTCTTTTATCTGACGAATTTGCTTCACAGTTTCTTTCAAGATTGCACATTTGTCAGGTTTAAAGTTAAAGTTGTCAATATCATTAAAATTTGCAAAAATCAGCTCTGCAAGTTCTTCTATGTATTTATTCTCTTGCTCACGATTGCGTTTCTCAGTGCTTCTTTTAGGGCTGAAAGAGGAGTTTATAAAAACATCGTATTTAATGTCAGTTTGCTTGCCTTCTGGCCAGCTCAAAGACTATTTCATAGAATCTTTGCAATGTGAAGAGAAACCAGAGTTGCAAATGGTTTGAGAGGAGTTTAACAAAAACAGAGAGAACTGCTCTCTCTCACTACAAAAAAAATTACAAGTTTCTGAAGCAGAAAGGCTTCCTCTGAAACAAGGAAAGGCGTATTAAAAAAGATGTTACTTATTTTTACCCATCAGTTGTGTCTTTTCATTTTTCAAAAGAGGTTTGGGATTTGAAATTCAACTGGGGAGGTGGGATTTAAACACTTACAAGTATTCCTCCCAATTCAGGGAGTATCATACAGTGACAGCATATGAGAAAATAAAACGGCTGAAAACGTTAAACCAAACAATCCATACTCCCTGCCTCCTTGTGAAATTACAACAGACAGTCATAAGAAAAAAACTGCTGAATGAGTGGTTATGCTTTAAAATTTATTTGTGTTGGTAACGCAAATGCTGTAAAACCGAAAAATATTTTTAAGTCCCTGATTATGACGTACAAGACAGGTGTTAAAAAATCTTAGATTGCCAGATGAGTGACTAGGACTCCCTGCAGTCATTAGCCAAAAAAAGATTTTTATATAGCTCCTATATTGTCACCAAAATTCTGTATTTTGGTACTACACTGGATTCAAAACAAACAAACAAATAATAGTAAAAGACAATACCCTCACCCCTTATCCCAAACCCACAACACCACAGAATTACTGAATCAGAGTAGTTTGGTACTGACTTCTTGTTGTAAGAATGGTAAGTTTTGTCATTTTCCAACTGAAAAATATGTGCACATGTAACAGTGTTTTTTAAGTCTTTCACTTGCAACGTCTTCAGGCATAAATGGTCTAACCTGGGTCCAAGCTGATCAGGATCCTTGCGCTTTCTTGACTCTGCCCTGGATGGGTCAGAGGTATTTTCTCCCATCCCACTCATCTTGAACACATATCAGCAACTAAAAGGAAGAAAGTGCAAGAAAGGGTTATGGTGGAAAAGCCCTGAGTCCTTTGTTGATATTTCTAAGTTTCTTGATCCATGCTCAACTCAGTTTTTACTTGGCAAATCTATCATTTGAAATGGAGTTTGTTTGAAAGGCACAAATAAAAAGATTGTGCTTATGTCCACACAAAACACTATACAAAACTCCTTCAGAAGAAAATTTGCGGTGGGCAAGCGAAGTGTTATCATCTCTTTGATTGTCACCAGTTATGTAAGAACAGGTAAGTACGTTTTGTGCCTGGGTTGCTGAATTTTCATGGCAATTTTGCAAGGTTGAATGAGGAAAGACAAAGGGAAAGTCATAGTGCTATACAATAAGAAAAACACAACAGAATTGAAATACATAAAATGAAATATGTATCCCAGTTGCATGAAAAGGTAGCACGTGCAGCTTCACTTAAAAATCAGAAGATAACACTTGCAGAAGTACATGTACAATATCACAGAAAAGGAACACTAGAGATCACTGAGGAACTGATAAATATTTTGTACATATAATCTACCTCATAAGGAAAATAACTTGTCAAGCTACCATGTGTTAAAACAACACAAGCTTATTATAATTTGTGCAACAAACAGCCCGTAGAAATCCTGCCCCGCTCCTGGCCGTCTGCTGCCCTATGCTCCGTAGGAGCACATGAAACTTGCCTGCCCCGCATTACATACCCCTCAATAAACACGAATATTCTAGAGGCAGAAAACACTATTACAAAAGACGTAAGGAGATGATGCAAATGATCAAAAAGCTCATGCAATACAGGGCAGTCCTAGCTCACCATCTGCCTCATTGCTGCCAGTTTTGTAAGGATGATGGCAGAGAGAGACGTTGCCAGACGTTTCAGAGAGCTCCTGTACTGTTTGGGATTAGCAGAAAAATAAACACGAGGACTATGAAGGAGGCGAGTGTCTCCAGGAGGTAATTCATACCATGATAAAATAATAGTTGGAGCCTGTAATTCCACGATCGCTTCACACTGGCATAAAATAGAAGTCTTGGTCTGGTATTAAAACAAGGGGATCCACCACCTCCTCCAGCCCCTCATTTCTGCCCCACTAGTTCCCTTCCCGCTGCTGGCCTGGTCAGCCATGCACTGAACTCCACAAGGAAACTGCTGTGGGTTAAAACTGTGTTTCCCTTCACGTTTTATTTTTGACACTGTGTAAAATCTAGCAGCCAGAGCTTGTGTTGGTACTAGGATGTTCACACTGGAAATCTTAATTTTCCCAATGAACTGGCTGAATGAAGATGTGGGCAGAAAGAGCCTGGAGACTGAGATGGAAGCAGCTCTTCAGGGATGCTGAGAAAGGCTACTTAGCGAAACTTGAGCGAGCAAACAAAGACTCGGAGCCGTCTCCGATTGAGACATCTAACATTTTTCTGAATACAGAAAATATTTCTGAGTACAGAAAATATTTTCTTTTTAATCAGTTTGAGGAGAAAGTGGAATAATTTCCTTTTTTGACATACTGGTCAAGTTTAATAAAAAACACTAGATGATCCCTGAAATAGCTCCCAGCTGGTCTTTACCATGCATGGTATCAGATCCTATTTGAAAAATACCTGGGTTATCTTTCTATCAATTATGTCTATACATGCATACATGTACATATATACTGCCAACACTGTGAGAACAACTCACTTCAAGAACAGCAAGGAGGCCCTGGTTCTGCAGAAGAGCAGGGCGGAGCTCTCAAAGGGAAGATGTACCATCACAGATTCCATCATTCTGTACTTGCTGGGGAACTCCCAGTGACCCCCAGTCTGGGCATTCACAGTGCCACGCCAAAGATGACCTTACTCCAGTGTGAAATATCTACCACAGTCTCCAGTGTGGACTGTGACACTGGCTGTTCCTTAACATCTACATATCTTCACTGATTTCTAGTCCCAGTAGTCATTCATGTCCTACTTTATCTAAATGCAAAAGCAGAAATATACATTTGTCTAATTGGTTAAGAGCTAAGCACTTTCTTGAAAACATGCAATTTCACAAGTATCCCAAGTAGAGTTTCAAGGAAAGAGCAAGATACTAATAAGAAAACTGTGATGATAATTAAAGAGAAGTTATGAGGAGACAGCAGCTCCACGTGTCTGTCAGTGGAGAGCTGGAACTGTCCTTGGGGCTCTGTTCCAATGACTAAATTTTTCACTGACCGGGGTGAGAAAAAATCATCAGCATGATGAAAGCTGTACATTCCCAAGATCATCTGATCTCCGAGCCAGACTCAGATGCTGACCTATAAGTTCAGAATAAAAATTAGACTGGGGAACCCCTTTGTTTCTTATGCTTCCCAAGTAATACCTGAGAAATGTACATCAGTTAACTATTTTTCTTGAGAAAAGCAAGCACAGCAATTCCTGAAAACATGTCAAACATTCAACAGTCATCTTCTCCCCTAAGAGTAGTAAGAATTAAAGTCAGAGGTAAGCATTTAGGGGGAACGCCCCCCTCCACTCCCCATTCCTCCCCAAGAAAACAAATAGGAACAGTTATCGACAGTTTTCCTACCTACTCTGCCAGGCTTAGTTCAAAGGGAAGTTTATTTTTGCAGGAACCAAAGTTTCACCAGTAGCTCCACCAATGCACAGCTCAATTCTTCCTGCATTCACACTGATGTTGATTCTGTAGGAATTCCACTAGGTCTATGGTATCAGCCTTCAGAGGACACAGTAAAACTAACCTCCTACCACAAACTTCTAAGGTTCATCCTTCTGTATTTAAGAGAACAAAAGTGGTATCATTATGTTTTGGGTTTGTGTGGCAAGGTCTTTGTAGCGGGGAGGCTACAGGGCTGGCATATGTGAGAAGCTGTTAGAAGCTTCCCTCATGTGTGATAAAGTCAATGCCAGACGGCTCCAAGATAGACCCGCTGTTGGCCAAGGCTGAGCCCATCCGTGATAGTGGTAATGACTCTGGGATCACCTAATTAAGAAGGGAAAAAAAAGGAGCAGCAGTTTTTGCAGCCAGAGAAAGAAGGGAGAAGATGTGAGAAAATTCACAGACACCAAGGCCAGTGCAGAAGGAGCGGGAGGAGGTGCTCCAGGCGCTGAAGCAGATTCCCCTGCAACCTGTGGTGAAGACCATGGTGAGGCAGGCTGTCCCCCTGCAGCACATGGAGGTTGATGGGGACCAGAGATTCCACCTGCAGCCCATGGAGGACCCCACGCTGGGGCAGGTGGAGGCACCTGAAGGAGGCTGTGACCCCGTGGGAAGCCCACGCTGGAGCAAGCTCCTGGCAGGACCTGTGGACCTGTGGAGAGAGGAGCCCACGCCAGAGCAGGTTTGCTGGCAGGACTTGTGACCCCGTGGGGGACCCACGCTGGAGCAGTTTGCTCCTGAAGGTCTGCACCCCGTGGGAGAGACCCACACTGGGGCAGTTTGTTGGAGAAGTTGGCAGAGGACTGTCTCCTATGGGGGAAAGCCCACGCTGGAGTGGGGTAAGAATGTGAGGAGTCCTCCCCCTGAGGAGGAAGGAGCGGCAGAAACACCGTGTGATGAACTGACCACAACCCCCATTCCCTGTCCCCCTGCACTGCTGCGGGGAGGAGGGAGAGAAACCAGGAGTGAAGTTGAGCCTGGGAAGATGGGAGGGGTGGGGGGAGGAGGTTTTAAGGTTTGGTTTTATTTCTCATTACTCTACTCTTTTTTGTTCAGTAATCAGTTGGATTAATTTTTTTGCCTAAGTTGAGTCTGTTTGCCCATGACAGTAATTGGTGAGGGATCTCTCCCTGTCCTCATCTCGACCCAGGAGCCTCTCCCTGTATTTTCTCTCCCCTGTCCAGCTGAGGAGGGCAGTGACAGAGCGGCTTTGGTGGGCACGTGGCCTCCAGCCAGGGTCAACCCACCACACATTATTATGAAACTAGCACCTTTTTCTCTCCTTATTAAATATAGTAAATGGTTCTAAACAAATATTTTTTTTATTTTGTGTTTTAATTTTATTTTGTTTGCACTTGCAGGCCATTACGTCTTTTTCTCAGCAGCATTATCAGTTTGTTCTGAGAATGAGTTACCCATTTCTTTTTACTCATCATAAAGTTTTTCTGGAAATCTACCACCTACTACCATGTTTGGTTCCTGCTCTTCCCTATGTCTTCATTAAAAATCATGTTCTACACCTCAAAGATCTGTATAGACTCTGCAGCTCCTGTGTTGTTGATGCCTGTGCTCCAGAGCAGAATCAAAATCCAGAGTTAGGTCCCTTGGAAAATGGAGAGCTAGACAAAGGATACCAAGGCAATCTAAAAAATCTCACAGGCCGAAGTGAAAGTCACTCAGCAGTATCTAGTACACAGTACTAAAATCAAAAGGATGTGCCCCCAAACCCTACCTCCCCAGGGATTTAGGGGCTGACTGGGATAGGCAAACTTCTGCTGTTCTCTTGGGATTCAGAAACTGAAATCCTCTCCCGAGTTAGGAGAAATGAGGACGAATCACCTTTTAGAAGCTGTGGATAGATAATCTGCTGCCCTGCTCCTCCATAATACTACGTACCAACTAAAACAGCCAGAAACTGGGCGATGTAGATTCAGTTCCAACTTCCCAGAGGGATTTCAAGCCTGAATTTTTCATCACGCAGGACAGCCTCCTAGGTGGTAGGCTATACACTTGCCCAAACTGGACGTTTATGAAACAAAGAGGGTAAGGTTAATTAACTCTTGCAGTGCAGTAAGAATCTTTAGGTGTGTAGCCCATACCACTAAACTCACGAGTAAGTAGTTCGAACACTGTCTTAAGACACAAGGGACTGAGGTTTGAATCCCTCAGGCTGAGAAGGGTAGCAAACCCGTATTTCGCATTTCTCAGCAATGACTCTAACAAGTCAAGCCAGAGCCAAAGAGGTGAGCACCCTCCCAGTTTCCTCATGTCTTTTTTTAAAAAAGCAGCTATTTTGAATTTTTTCCATGAGCTAATTCACATTCAAGACCTATGCATACTACTACATGAAGATGTC